CTCACTTTGTAGCCCAGGCTGGCCTCAAACTCACAACAATCTTCCTGCCTCAGCCTCCCGAGTGCAGGGATTACAGGCGTGCGCCACCACGCCCAGCTATCTTATCTCTTCTTTGTTCAGCCCAAGTTTGCTCCGCAGAACTGGTTTTCCCCACACACTTTTACCCTACATTTTTCAAATAAACTTTTTGGCACCGTTATTGGCTTGTCTCCTCCTATTCTTTGTTCAGGGCAAGAAGGACCTGGAATGCTTTTGATTGGTGAGCCATTTTTAAAGGAACTACCCCCAATAACAAGAAATATTTTCACTTGCAATTAAATTAGTCTACCCTAACTGCATTTTCACCAAATCTCAATACCCAGACCTGCCTAAATTTTGAGTACAGGAGGCAGTATATAGTATGGCCTTAAAGGGTCAGATGCAAAGCCAAGTGTGACCTTCACTTGGCCCCACAAGTTCCTCCATTTACTAGTCACACAGCATCTGCAACTCTGGATTCACGACCCCAAATGAGAATAACGCGGTTAAGTAAAACAACGTACGCAGAAAGCGCTCAGCATATTGCAGGACACAGAATAAGCATTCAGCATTCAGTAACTCATACATATTATTGTAATGATGTTCCTTAAATATCAATTTCTATAATTATGGCACATGCATACAATGGAATACTATTTTAACAGTCAGAAATTGAAGCTGTGCTATACTTATTGATATGAGTGATTTCCAAGGCGTGTGTATATATATATATATATATATATATATATATATATATATACCGTAATATATGTATATTATATTTTTCTCCCAGTACTGAAGACTCAACCTAGGGCCTTGTCAGTGAGCTACCTCCCAAGCCCTTTTTATTTTCTATTTTAAGATAGGGTCTTGCTGAGTGTGTAAGTTGCTAGAGTTAAGTTCAAACTTACAATCCTGCCTTAGCCTCCCAGAGTGCTGGAATTTCAAGCATGTAACACCATGCCCAGGTTCTCTAAAATACATTAAGTGAAAAAAAGAAATTAACAGTTAATGGGCTGTTGGTGGTGCACTCCTGTAATCCCAGCACTCAGGAAGCTGAAGCAGGAGGTTCTCTGTGAGTTTGAGAACAGCTTAAGCTGCATAGTGAGTTCAAGGCCAGCCTGAACTACACAGCTGAGACCCTGTCTCAAAAAACAACAAAAAGTTAATAGAATTAACTGTTCTTTATACATACGTGTATTTAGAATATTATTACTTGTATTTTTGATATTTATATACATACACATTCGTACATACATAGAATGTCTCTAAAGAACACATACAGAACAAGTTTTAGAGGAGGAGGAAAATGAAGCAGCTAAAAAATAAGGATAGAAGACAGTCTTACAGCTTACTATAACTTCCTTGTAACTTTTATCTTTGGTACCCATTTGCCTTTATTGAATATTCTAGTCCATTTAATTTTTGCAGTGTTGGTGATCAAACCCAAGACCTTGAACAGGCTAGGCTAAACTAAACCACTAAACTAAACCCCCAGCCCTATCAACTATTCTTTTTTTTTTTTTTTTTTTTTTTTTTTTTGTCTTTTTGAGACAGGGTCTCGCTATGCAGTTCAGGCTGACCTTGAGCTCACTTTGTAGCCCACACTGGTCTCAAACTCACAAGGATCCTCCGGCCTCAGCCTCTAGAGCACTGGAATTACAGGCGTGCGCCACCACGCCCACAGACTATTCTAAAACTAAAATAAAATTTGTATTACGATCCACAGTGTAACTACCAAAATATACCGTTATACATTAAGTGCATTAAATTGATCTTTGTGGAAAAGTCTAACATTTCATTGTTTTGCTTTCTGTTTTTACCACAGGGTCTTCCCATTGAGCTACATCTCCAGCCTTTCTTGTTTGTTTTTATTTTGAGATGGGGTCTCTTAAATTACTAAATTGCCCAGGTTGGGCTCAAACTTGTGACCCTCCTGTCTCATCCTCCCAGAAGGCTGGGATTACAAGCCTGCACCACCGCCCACGATTGAAGTATATACTTGAGTAAGGTATATCAGCTTATTAAATTATGTAACAGGACGCTTGGAGACGAGAAAAAGTAAAGTGTAAGCACGTGGATGGGAAAGGCAAGGAGAATAGCTTCATTGAAAAGCTGTACCGCCCATCAGTACCACTGGTCATTGCCCGAGTAACCTGCATTTCAGCGGACACATCACGACTAGAGGAGCAAAGCACTCCGTGGTGACTCAAAATACGCATGCATCCATTCATAAACAATCGAATGAATGAAGAAAGCTCAGTGGCAAAACACCCCACAGAAGCCTCGAGTGAGCCGGAACACCTAGCGTCCTCCCTCCCCGCGGGATCGCTTCCCGCCTGTGCTCCCGGAAGTGCAGCGGGGCGGCCTGGGCGGGCCGGCTCCGCACCCCGGGCGGGGAGGGGTCCCCCACAGCGGGGGCGCCGCGCCCCGGGCCGGCTGTCCGCCCTGCCGGGGGAGAAACAAACCGGGGTCCGACCTCGGACCTCACAGGGCGGGCTCCTCGCTTTGGCAGCGTCGGTGTTCTGTGCCCCGTATGGACCAAGCAAGAGAACGTGCGAAGGGCGCGCGCGGGACCTCATCTCCGAGGAAACGGGGAGAGGGGCGAAGCAGGGGAAGGGCCGCTTCCCCAGCCCGGGCTCGGCCGGCCGGCCCGCTCGTGGCAGTCACTGACCTTTCCAGAGGGGCCTCCCCGGGACGGCGGCCCGGGCCCCGCACCCCACGCGAGCCCCACTCCGCGGGGTCCGCGCCAGGGCGCGCAGGACGGCCAAGGGCGACCGGGAGGCCGCCATCTTGCGCTCCGTGCAAGGGGAGGAAGGGGAAACTTTATTGAAAGCCAGATGAGAGACGGTGGCACAGTGAAACCCAACCGTGCTCGGGGAACGCTCCGCCCGCCCGAGGGAAGCTAGGGAGCAGCTAAGGGAGGTGACCTCCAGCCCCAAGGGGCGGGCAGACACACTCCTGTGCCCTTTGGTCCTTCTGGACAGGCCGGCCCGGACTACAACTCCCAGCATGCAGTGCGCTGTCGGGGGGGGAGTGGGCGTGGCTGGGGCTCCGCCGGGATGGGCCGGGCTGCGGGAGAACCCAAACTAGTGGAGGCCTCCGGAAGTCATTAGGTCACCTAGTAACCAGGACTGAGCCTTTTAAATCAGCTCACGTTAACCTGTGGGGGACCAATAGACCATCATATTTTAAAGAAATATTGATGTTACCCAGTCACACCTCTCCTAAAAAGTAGCTCCGAATCTTTTTTTCCTCTAGCATCCAGTGCAGCTTTGGACAACACCTGAAATATGCTCCTACCACCTGTCCTTTTGGTATTTGAATAACATCCAAACAAGAATTGTAACATGGACCTTGAGGCCGGGCCGCAGATGCTCATCAGCCATTTCCTTATACTGTTGCTGTTGTTCCTCTTCTCATAGTCACTTCCTTAGGTGCAGAAGGATGCCCCAGTACCTGGTTCCCGCTTCCACTTCCTCATCTCTAGCTTTCTCTTCGCGGTAGACAGCAGCTATGGCCTTCTAGCTGCTCAGGCCGTTTATCAGAAGACGCAGCCTTTGCTTTCCTTTTCCTCTCCCGCGTCCAGTCTGTCAGTGAATGTTGCTGGCTCCACCTTCATGATTAGCCAGAATATCACTTTTCAGCACTGATCCTGCTACCACAAACACTGCTCCACGTGTCCGTCATCTCCTCTCTGGGTTGTTCCCCTCTAACCGGTCTCCTTGCTTTGTCTCTTGAGCTGTATAATCTGTTCTCTCCACAGCATCCACATGTATCTTTAAAAATTCCAGGTTAAGGTCGGGTGTAGTGGCGCACGTCTGTAATATCAGCCCTCGGGAGGCCGAGGCAGGAAGATCATTGCAAGTGGGAGACCAGCCTGGGCTACAAAGTGAACTCAAGGCCAGCCTGAACTGCATAGCGAGACCCTGTCCCAAAAAGACACACACACACAAAAAAAATCCAAGTTAATCATGCCATTCCTGTGTTTAACACCCCCTAGTGCCTTCCCCTGTCACTGTTATCAAAACAGCCTGCAAGGCCTTATGATAGGGGCGCTAAGCACTCTCTCTAATCCCTTCTGCATCAACTCTCCCTGTCCTTCCCTGCCCACCCACATTGGATTTCTGGCTGGAACTCACCAAGCCTGGTTCCTGTCCGCAGACCTTCTGCATGTCCTTGTCCATCTGTTCTCCAAAATATCCACTTGGTTCACTTCCTCATGTCCTGATACTTGCACAGTTAAGGCCTTTCCTTACTACTACTATATGAGGCAGGTACCACTACCTCGTGTGAAATCACAGTCTTGTTCAGCACGCCTTTTCTTGCTTTCGTCCGTCTTAATTTTCTCCACAGCACTCACAACTATCTGGCAGAATACTACACATTCTTTATTGATTCCTTAGCTCACTATGTGCTCTTACTAAAATTTAATCTCCCTGCAGGTTGGGATTTATTCTGTTTTATTGCTGCCCAGACCTAGAATAATGTCTAAGCTACATGAGATTTGAGAAATATTTCTTGCTTCCTTTTTTCCCCCCAGTGCAAGGGATTTTGTTTTGTTTTGTTTTGTTTTGTTTTGTGTTGTCTTGTTTTGTGGAACTCAGGGGATCCTCCTATCTCCACCTCCCCAGCAGCTGGAACTATAGACATGTGCCACTACACCTAGAATTTTAAAAATTTGAATCACATGATAATACATACTTGTATTTAGCAATGTAGTTTTTCCTTAAATATTCCTTATTTAAATTTTTAGGGAGGAACCAGGGATATAGCTCAGTGACAGAAGCACCTGCCTGGCAAGCGCAAGGTCCGGAGTTCGATTTCTGACACCAAAAAAAAATTTTTTTTAGGGAGGATTAAAAGGCATTCCTTACACAACTGTCCACATGCCTCCCCAACATCATTCTTTCAAAAATAGCAGTAAACTGGGTGTGGTGGTGCATGTCTGTAATCCCAGCACTTGGGAGGCTGAGGCAGGAGGATTGCCACAAGATCCTGTCCAGCCTGGGCTACATAGTAAATTCAAGTCCAGCCTGCATTACAAAGCAAGACTCTATCTCAAAGAAAAAAAATTTTTAAATATATAAAATGGCTTAAATTAATCCATGACCATTAGGTCTTCCCTTGGTCCTCTCAGAAGCTGATGTACTCATCCCCTAACTGTGCCTGTCTTTCCTCTCCATGCCATTCTGCTATTAGATGTGTCTTTCCAGAGATGTGGCCTATCTCACCACATCCCTTCTCAGTCTATAAATTTGTGGTGCTTCCCTAATGTCTGCAGAATGAAGTGCAATTTATTTATATTGAACTTTTTTGAGATAGGGACTGGGTACTTTAGGCTGGTTTTGAACTCATTATGTAGCCCAGGCTGGCTCAGACTAGAAACAATCCTCCTTCCTCAGCCTCCTGAGTGCTGGGATTACAGGTATGAACAATGACACCAGCTATATTAGATTTGGTGTACCAAGTCCTATGTGCCTCCATAAATACAGGCGTATGTATTTTCTACGATACTGGGGACTGAAGCCAAGACCGTCACACTGAGCTCTACCCACTAGCCCTTTTGTTTTGAATCAGGGTTTCTGCTACAGCTTATACATAATGTCCCACCAAAGCCTCAGGCACTCACTGGTAGGGCCTTTTAGAGCTGGCTGGATGTAGGGTGTGTGACTACGGACCAAGGGTGTGTGATAACTAAATTGGTTTAATACAGCTTTGAGTGTGGATAATGGACAGCCCCACCCTGGGTGTCTGGTTACTTTTCTCTCATTGCTGAGACAAAATACCTGATGCCCACAATTAAGGAAGAAAAGGTTTATTTAGCTCACAGTTTGTGGAGGTTTCAGTCTCTAATCAGCTGACTCCAAGGCAGAGTGGCATGGCACAGGGGCAACAGTTCATGGTGGCAGAAGACAGCAAACGCAATAAGCAAAAAGTGGGGGGTTCAAGCCTCTTTTCCTCCCTTATATTGTAAGTGGGCCACACACCCCTCCCCCAGGGCAGGTGTAGCACTCACACCACCTCCATGCCTCCCCTTGCACAGGAGGAGGATGTTTACAAAGCGAAGGCCCCAGCCCCCTGCTGAGTTACTTAGTAGCCTGGATGCAATGTAAGGGGACAGGCTCACTGCTGCTTTACTGCTTTCTGCCTCCCCTGCCATGGACTGTTTCTCCTCTGCCTTAGAGCCAGCCAACTATGGACTAAAACCTCTATAAACCATGCGCTTGGCAAGTTTCCTCCTTAACTTGTGAGTGTCAGGCATTTTGTCTCAGCAATAAGAAAAGTAACTAAGACAATCTCCCTAAATTGCCTGGGCTCAAACTCTCAATTTCCCTTTCTTAGCCTCCCAGAGTATTGGGATTATAGGTATTCACCACCATCCCAGTCTATGTGTCATGGTTTGAGGTTTTACAAGGAGAAAAAAAAATACAGAACACATAAGATTATTTATAATAGTTACCCAAAGAATCATATACAAAGAGTGCAGGAAATCTGTCCACACATTAAGGACCAAAGAATCCAGCCGAGGGCCTGGATCCCACAGCAATGTCCTCAATGAGTCCATCTGAAGACCTAGAGCCCATAACAATACCTCCCATGAGTCTGGCCGGAGGCCTAGAGCCCACGACAATGTCTCATGTAGGTTTGTTTCATGAATCTGCGCTGGGAAGGCCCAAAGGTCAGTGGTAGAAGTTAGAAAGTCTATGCCAGCGAGATGAGGGATCTGCCCTGGAGCCAGGAAGCGATGCTCAGAAGAACCAGAGCTCCCCCGAAAGGTACCACAGCCATCCCCAGCAAGAGTGAGGTCCTGAGCTCCTCTGAAAATGAGGACAGCTGAGTTCCCACCAGGAAAGTCAATGAGACAGGCTTCTCCAGGAGACTGAGCTGTGCACCTTCTTCCCCTCTGGAGCAGGAAGTGATGCTCAAAACGAGGACCAGAGCTCCCGCAAAGTGAACCGTAGCCATTCATAGCGATAACAATGCCCCAAGCTCCTCCTCCTCGAATGAGAACAGCCGAGTTTATCAGGAAAGCCAGCATGACAAGGTCCTCCAGCAGAATAGCCCAAGAGAACCAGCAGCTCTCTAACAGCTTCTACCAGCTCCTCTCATTCTGCCTCTTATGCTGCCAGCAACAGTCCTCAGGTGGGCCTCCCACACCCAGCACCACGCTGGTTCAGTTCCCTTAGGTGCTACAAGTTGACCACCAGTTGTCAAGCCACCACACTATGTATATGTATTTCCAGGAAAATTGATCCCATCCACCATTTGACACCCCCTCCTCAACTTCCTAAGCATGTGTCCTGATTTTTACTAGAAAAAATAATTTTAATAAAAATAATTATAAAAACTACTAATTGAATTTTTATATTTTCAGGACAACTCCAAGAACGTTCTTTGGGAAGTGATAGCAGTATTAGCATTCACTGTTAAACAAAACTTTCTCTATGTGTGGTACTGAGGATTGACCCGGGAGACTTTGTACTGAGCTACATCCTCACCTTCCTTTGCCCCTCTTTAAATTTTGCAACAGGGTCTTCCTCAATTGCCCAGGCAGGATTCAAACCTCAAACTTGCCACCCTCCTCCCTCAGCTTCCCAGAGAGCTAGGATTTCAGGTGTCCATCACCGCTCCTGACTCCCTCTAGTCTTTTTGGGGGGCAGTACTGGGGATTAAACTTGGGGCTTTCATGCTAGGCTACATCCCCACTCCCTATTTTGTGTATTGTTTTGTTTTTTGAGGCAGGGTCTTACAAAGTAAGGTGGGGCTCAAACTTGTGATCCTCCTGCCTCAGCCTCCCAGAGTGCTGGGATTACAGCTGTGTACCACTATACCCAGCTGCCCTGTTTGTGTTTCAATTTTAAAGCTGGGCATGGTGGCGGCTAGCCTATGTTAGTCAGTTCAAAGCCAACCTAAACTATATAGGGAGACCCTGTCTTAAAAAAAAAGTTATAGTTTTGAGTCAGG